AAAAATGAAAAAAGTGAAAATGGTAATAGTATATGCTTTTATTTGCACTAAAGTTATTTGCTTGAAGGGGGTGTATTATGATTTTACAGGAACATATTCAAGAATTATAAGAATTATTCCACATTTGTTTAGTGGAACCAAGGTTATTATAATGAACTAAAACTAACATTAAAACCATAAAACTATTGTTTCTTAAAAAAACAAACAAACAAAAAAACCTTTAGCTGAAATAAGTATAAAAAACTATATTTAAATAATTTCAGCTATTTTTATATAATTTCTCATTTTAATTTAGTTTAACATGATGTAATAAAATAACTAAAACTAATACTGTAATAAAAAAAATTATAAAAATATATAGACATATATAAAAAATACTAAAAACGCACAACAAAATTACTAAAACTAACTAGAATTAAAATGGAAAATATAAAATATATAAAAATATAAAAACTATAATAGTATCTCAATAACATTAAAATGACACTGAGAGGAACACTTGACTAAATATTTAGTTTGTGATAGACATCTTTAAAAACCTCGTAATCAATACTGAGGTCAACTCATTTGAATAACAATTGCTCAAGTGTGACTTTCCCACCAAATGAGGGCAGTTTGCGCTCTTTTTCTCAGGGTGGAGGATGTTGATTCGCGGCCCTGCCGTGCTCCGCTGAGGCCGAGCAGATGTTCCTGTACGGCCTGCTGCATGCAGTGTGCTGGTCAGTGTCTGATGCTCTGTCTCTCTGTTAAGGTCAAAGGTCCCACAACGTCAGGAGGCAGACCTCTCGCACGGGTCAGAGAGCACCACGCCGCTAATAGAGGCAAGAGAGTTCAGTGCGTGTTGCTCGGGCAAATGGTTTTGCACCTATGAAATGGTTAAAGTTTAAACCCTCTTACCACATCCCTCGACACCTGAACCAAGAGCTCAGGCCGGCTGGACTATTAATGCCGTATGACCACAGCATTGGTGAAACAGCTTTTTCCTGAAAAATCAGATCAGAATAAAACCAATCTCATATACTATAAAAGGAAAGAATTGAGGGCAGAATAGAATTTAAAGATTGAATTTAAAACAAAAGGGCTAAAATAGCGACTGGATGGCTAGTGTATTAGATAAATGATCTATGATCATTTAAGATAAATATTGGCTTTTATATGTTAGAAAGAGAGACTGTAGAGATAGTGATCAGAATCCAGGAAGGGCTGCATTTCAGATCAAAGACCAACAATTCAACCCCAGAAACCTGGAAACACACAGAGAGTGAAAACAAACACAGCAAGCAAAGAGAGCAGAGGACAAACAGCTCGAAATCTGTGCCATCTGGATTTTGTAGGATGCAAATCAGTAAAGCAGTGAGTGATTTTTATAAAACAAATGGCTTAAAAGAATAAACATGACATTAACAAGATACAAAGAATCACTGTAAACCTAGTGCTAAAATAAATGCATTGGTTTGAGTAGGAAAAATCTAAATTAAACAAATTAGTTCAATCGATTTCTGTTTCTGTTTTTATATTAATTTTTTTCTATACAAGTGACAAATTTATCAAATGCGATTCATTGTAATAAAACAGCTATCAAACAAAAGTGTTGCAATGCTCATTTGAAGCATAAACTAGTAGTACTAAAGCTGCACAAAAGTATAAAGGAAAAAAATTAATTTTTATTTTTATTAATATTCTTATTTTGTAACATTTGGTTTTATTTTTCAGCAAAGCGAGCAGAGGACAAACGTCCAATGCTCAAAATGTACAAATCTCAATTTAAACAAATGAGCTCAATCAAATTAAATTTCATGATTATTTAGAACTTTCTTTTTCTTTTGAGTTCACGAAACAGACACTTCTTAAGTAATCTGAATTGGTTCATTGTTTTGAGTTTAATGAACTTGTTTCTTTTAAAGGGGTCATATGATGCTTTTTAAAAGATCATTATTTTGTGTATTTGGTGTAACAGAATATGTTGACATGCTTTAATGTTCAAAAAACACATTATTTTTCAAATACTGTACATTATTGTAGGTCCTCTATGCCCCGCCTCTCTCAAACGCTTCGTTTTCTACAAAGCCCCCTCCTT